TAAAGATTTTTCGGCGTAAGACAGTCATGTACACTACGTAACAAAGATCAAATCAAAAAGCGATTGAAAAGTTGTTTTAAGCTTTTATAAAAGAAAAGTACTAATTTGGTGGAAAGTACTCACTTGGAGGGTAAACTGAAGTGTTAAAATTGGATGCAATATTATATCTAAGTACAATGTGAAAAAAAGGGCAGAGTGTTTACGCAGTGTCTCATATTGTACATATATTTTTTTCTAGTTTGCCAGGTTTCAATGAATCTTAACTGAATCTTAACTGCCAGGTTTCAATGAATCTTCAAACAACACTTCAGCAACAAATTCTTATCAAACAGCATGTTGTTAATCCGATGCCTCGCAAAATTAAAATAATCCCAACAAAAAAGTCAATAATTCTGCCCCGCCCGCGCAATTTTCTCTTCTGTTTTCTTCTTCATTTCAGGCTAATTATGCTAATACCGCAACAAGAGTCATGCCCTTAAGGGCAAATCTACGTCTTCCGTGTTGTTTTTTTTTGTAACGTCGTTTTTTTTCGTTTTTTTATTTCTCTCTTTCTCTTCTCTCTCTCTTTCACATATTAATTATACCACAAAGAGTTCCCTAAATTATATTTGGCTACCATTGTATTTAAAGTACAACTTCTTCAGTAATTAAATATATTCAACAAACACATTTCCTCCCATATGTAGTTATATACAATATACAAAATACTAAAGGGTATTTCAAATACCCTATTTCATACCGCTGACTAAGAATTTATAAAATTCAAACGACAGGGATAATGGAATGTTGTTGTTTTTTTCTTTCACAAAACTGAACGAAGCATTTTATGTAACCGCTCGGATTAATAATTTTTATACCAGCGATACGGCTTTACAGGTCCTCATCATACTGAGAAAGAAAAACGACATGTACAATTGTAATTAACATATATTTGAAGAAAGTAAAAGAGTTAGATATGAAGGCTTCTAATAAACCTGTGTTGCACGAGAGCAGATTCTTCAAAAAAGTAGACTTCAATTTATTACGGGCGCAGCACGCCTCACTGTTACTGAAAAACTGGTTTGACAACTACGTGATTCTGGAGAAAGAGTACCGGTAGGCTGAAGCAAAGTAACTTCTTCCGTTACGCATAAAGTGAAAATTTACATCTTCCGTTACAGAAGAGCAAAAATGTGTACGTTAAAGATAAGCTGCAGGTGAAAGCATGTCAGTAATTTCCCTGTAAATGATCTTGAATAGATTTCAGTTGGAACATCTAAAATGCTAGCTAGACACGCTTCAATTCTCAATGCTCTGCATTTTAAGTTCGTACGCGCGATTAAATGTTGCTCAAGATTTGGGCAAGCACTTGGATGGCAACTGTCGCTTGAATTTAAATTCTTCAAGCCTAGGATTATTTTATTTTTTCTCCCGGACATTTTGCCAGGTAAATAGTATATTATCAGACAAAAAAAAACTTATCACACAACTCTTAAGACAAGCAAATGTCCAACTTGGCTGGTAAGAAGTTTCCACCAAATTTTGGAAATGTGAAGCTGAACAACGGTGCATACATCCTTAAGGAATGCACTTGAGGATATGACCGAGTTTGCATTACTCCGTTTTAGTTTTTTGAAATAGTTAATGCAAAAAAGTATATTAATGGTCTTTTTTTTTTGAGGAGGGAAAGGGGGGGGGGGTTGCCAAGAAGTGTTCCCATGTCTAATTTGAATATACATAATGGTAAATAAGAAATGACGCGAGCTCAAACGCATGTGTTGCCCTCTAACTCACTCCCGTTAAAAAAAAAAAAAAAAAAATTGGTTGTGGTTATGTTCATACAGCCTTGAACTTAGTCTGCCTCAACGAGCCACTTGTCTCTCAGCTGAAGATGAGCAATTTAGCCACTTCAGTACAACCGCTAGCCTAGGGTCTTTAACGTGCACCACGCAGTAGTGATACACGACCGCACGCCGGTACGATGCTCATCCAGATCGAAATGGGCAGGGCTGGGGATTAAACTCACTCCCCGTTTTAATACCAAAAGTCTTTGTTCTTTCCACAAATTCTCCAACGAACCACCAAATGCGCCAAAATAATCCGCATATTTACGCAGTGAACTTTGCAAAACTCACATAATATTATATTCCGTGTGTTTCAGACTTTCCGTAGCCTGTCGAAAATTCCCTTTACGAAGGTGGTTGGGATCTGCAGCTACGGTGCTTTCAAGGTTTTTGCCAAATTTATTCACTTAATTAACGATAACTTTTTTCGAACACCCGAATGTGTAATTTCTATTGTTTTTTTTCTGTTAGGCTAGCGAAAGTTCTGTCCCTTAATATACAGCACTGACTAGTGGATATAGTCTGTCAGAACGTACAACTATCCGGAGAAGTGTGAACCTTTGAAATCTTAAAGAAAAATGGCGTCACCTGCGTCAACCCGTAAACACGTATTATTTCTCTGACGTCACCAAAAGTAAGTAGCATCATCTGCGCCCCTTCAGAAAAAAACAAACAAAAAAACATTGGCGCCGACAAAAACAAAGTTCTGATCCATTGCGCTTTGCTGTGGCTGTTATTCTTATCTTGTGGTCTGCAGTTCTTATCTTGAAACACACTTTATAGTCGTCATCGACGGCTAAAGATACCCGGGGCGAGGCGGCTACAACGCTTCATATTATCGCTCCAAAGTCAGTAATATTGCGGTATTCGCCAGTGAAAACGCAAAAGAACGAATCGACATAATTAATCCACTCGCTCCACTCCTTAAGCTATCAGAGACTATATTCTCTCATTCTTATAGGTTGCTCCCCTGGACTTACTCTGTCGTGGTTTCCCCAATTTTTAATTTTATTTTTCTACGCGATCTTTTTTACGACACCTTTCAGAGAAACGACAGCTCGCCTGATCCCGCGCAGTGTAGTCTGGGAGTTTTGAGCATGAAATCGAGGAACAAAAATAAGTCCGCCGGTATTGATTGATGACGACGCCAAAAATAAATGGCACAAAATAGGCCGATTTTTTTTTCTTTCTTTCAGCCTCCTTCGCGCGTTCGACGTCGATAAAATTGCGAAAACATTCTTGCGCACGGCGAGCTGGACGTCATCAACGTGACGAAGAAAAGGTCGTGGCTTGTTGCGCAATGACAGATCGGTGCACGCACGTCCCTCGACACAGACGCCCTCCAATGTCTGTAGCGCGTACGTGCTAAAGTCAGAACGAAAGAAACAATGAATTAAAACTCGATCGCATTAGAGACAACTGACCGAACACGATAACGATTTGATCTCACTAAACTAAAAAGCTTAGGGTGTATAGGGTGCAGCAAACTTAGCAGGCTCAGTCTCGTTCAGGCTGGGGTCGCTCAAGTGCGATGCGGGATGCCCCAGCAACGTTAAGTTGTTAAAAAATAGGTGGGAGTGAAATGCAGCATTGCCAACTGCCGCAGTGTATCATCCGGTTTCATAGCTTAGCATGCCGGGGATACCCCATGGCGAATTTTACCCCTTTCGTCTCGCATTAAACTGGACCAGCTCATACTGCCGCTAACTGTTCATAATTGTTAAGTTGTTGTTTCTTTGCCTCTGCCTTGGCGTTAATATTTTTAGCAAAGTCACGCGCCAGCAAGTGCGTAACCGGTTTGTGCATCAGTGCTAAGTCAGGCAATCTGGTTTCCTCTGCTATGTTTTTATCGCCCAGCACTCAGGTATGCATAATATAAATTATTTCCGACAGTAATTTACTAGATACGAATTCACACAAATTTTATCTTTTTTCATCATCCGGGAAATAAAATAGACTTTAATCAAACTCGCTATTTATAAAGTAAATGAGTCGGATCTGCCGTAAGCTTGTATATTTTTCGTGTCGTGATATTTCACGAATATTTTAGTTCCGTTGCTTATAAACAGCACACTGTTTTGCTCGTGCGCCATACAAAAGTACCGACAAGTTCATCAGCGCGTGTTATTAAGATACAAGAAGCAAAACGTGGCGCAAAAAGTGGGCCACCTTACTATGGCGTAAAGAGTAGGCCTAAACCTCCCTACTCCCCCCCTTTCCCCCCCCCCCCCACACACACAAAAAAAGTAGTTTTTTTGACGGCCGTAGGTTGTCTCAAAACAAAGTTCTCAATCTCTTAGGCGAGAATCAGTTTTCTTGCAAAAGTAAACACACGGGACTGTTCATTCCCTTACGCGGTTAGGGTTTTAGCCGGAGCATAAAAACGATGTATCTACCGCTGGTTAGTCTTAACGAACGGATGAAAACGTGGAGACATGAACAACAACAGCATGCCCCGAGACGCTGCGCTCGATGGCAGACGGAGTAATGATGTAACGCTGGTGTTCGCAAAACGCCATCGACGCAGAGACCGCAGAGAAAGTATCCGGTAATAAGGTCACCGACGTTCCACCTAGTCCTAGATTCCACTCATCTTGGTGTCACTAGATGTCAATCGCTGTCAAGTCACCACGGAGAGAGAAAGGCATCCCATTTCGACTCGCAGAGGCAGTGCACAAATGAATGACGGGAGGCGTGCGGCGGCCGCACCCAGTCGCTTTCCCGAACAAAGATCCCTCCCGAAACCCGACGCTCGCACGCGACGATAGTCGCGTACCAACTTGCAATGCACCTTCGCAAGCCTGCACTCAACCCGTCTAGGGACTTGTCACTTCAATTTTTCAATTTCTAACGTGTATTACTGAGCGAAATACCAGCGGCGTGGCAAAAATTCAGCAGGACCGTGGTCTCGTCCAACGAAAAAGAAATATTTCTGACAAATTTCGGCAACGCAATGACAGATTCAGCCGAGTGCCAACCGCCTCGACGGCGGGAAGCCAGTCCTGCCGACTTGATTAGAGGATGTAAATTCGGTTTGGAGCAAGATTCCGAGTGCGAGCCCAGGGTTTCGGGAGCGAGACGCGAACGGCACGAGAGCCTCGCCTGTCAACCGGCGCCGGCCGCGCCCGTCGCTCGAGCCGGCGTCGGGGCGCGTCGGCGGGTCCGTCCCGGACTCACCGCTTGGGCGGCTTTCGGGGGAAGCTTGCCGGGCGTCGGGGCTCGGCGTGCGGCCCGTGTCGTCGTCTAAGGGCGTCCCCGCAAGCTCGCTTTGCACGTTGTTCCGGCGAGCGATCCCTGCTGCTGCAGTGCCGCTTTGGAATGCCGCAGTGGCCTTTGCCGTTGGCGGCCAATCACAGGGCGTCGGCGCCGAGCGGCCTGCGCGGACGCCGCCCGAACTAGTCGCGGCGCCCGCTGCCGGGGCTCCGGGCCGCTCCCCCCGTGATCGCCGAGCCCGCCTATTCAAAGCGCGTGGTTTCACGAGCTCTTGGACGCGGGCCGTTTTGGACGGGCAAATTATGATAGCAGAAAACCTTTTTTTAAAAAAAGCAGGTATTGCATTTTTTAGGGATTTCCTATTTTAGAATTGTGTTTGTGCCTCCGTCACGTCACGTGGCAGCCCGACTCGACACCATCACGTGACTTCGCGTGATATGACGTTACAGAATCAAGCGTTGCTTCACGCGATGGCAATTTCGCCGCAAAAATTTAGCTGGGAAATAATTAAACGGTACGTTCTTCACTCGCTCAAACGACTGCTTATGTCCTCTAAACAAGATTAAATCATCGCTCCTTGAATACTGCTTTTCCCGGGATATAGGACATTCGAGGTAAGGGTCGCCGGTCATTTTCCTAAAATTATCATTTGCATTTGACAGTTGTGGATTGGTGGGAGACATTTTCGGTGGGTATCTGCGCTTCGCGAATTGTAAAAGCTCGCGTGCAGACCTGTACGAAATGTCCAGTTAATCGAAACTAGGCTTCAAATCCCCCCCTCCATTCCTCCTCCTCCTGCTTCCCCAGTCGGGTAGTAACGTTGCTGCGAACTGAGAGTCCAAAAATCTCCTAGATATTTTTTTTAATTACACAACAAGGAAAAAAGAAAAAGAAAGAATAATATTAAACACACCCTTCCGTATGTCTGCTTTCATGCAGAACACTGGTTGAGACAAATATTGCAGGCTACAGATAAAACTCAGTAATTGCCCAGGCAAAAAAAAAACGAGTTTCGTTCGTAGATTGCAATGTTTGACTATGCTTCGAAATAAAATATAAAAAACACGTGCATCAAATAGTGTGTTTTTATATTCGCCAATACACTGCTACTAAACAAGCCCGAGTTCTCCAACACCGGATGAGGGAATTGCACGAGCCAAGAAACCAGATTCCCCTGAGGCAAAGCATCGGCGCATGCGCTGCGCCGACAACAGCGCCACCACAGTGGAATGACGTCAAAGAATCGAGTTGGTCTAGTGACAGCTTAAGAAACGTAGGGCGTGTCTTATTATTTTCACGCTTCTTGCGTCGCGATTACGTGACCGCAGCCGATCATCGGCTATGGAAACGTAATAAGTACATTAGGAACTCGCCGCGTCCGCCGTTTTTTAATCTCTCAGTAAGTAGAGAAGGCAGAGTACTTGCTAGGAGTTTCAGTTGACTAAAACCTTCATTTCGGTTCAGCGTAAAGCGATAATATGATTTCCGGAGACCCCCTGGAAATTTGAGAGTTTATGTCTGTCTAGAACTGCCGGGCTGCAAAACGTGATCGACTGACTCTAAGGCATACCAAACCCCTTTCTTCAGTTAAAAAAAAGATCCGCATGATATGTATTATTGCATTTATATTTACAAGTTGGTTCCTAAGCTAAGTTAACGTTTCTTAGACGACACGTAGTAAATGTCAATATAGCCGTCGTGTAAGAAAAAAAAATCAACCCCACTTACGCCTGGGGCTCTATTTGACTGATTTTCCATAATCAAGAAACTCTTCCTAGGCTATTTGAATTGTTTCTTCTCACTATGACGCATACGCGAACGGGCAAAACGAAACAGTGTGTTTGCTCTTTCACAAAAGAAATGCATCGAATAGAAATAAAGAAATAAAAGCGTCGCGTCTCATATAAAACTCCCCAAGTCGAACACTCGGCGCACTTTCCACTTCGATGCAAGCTATTTTGGCCGAGATTGAAAAGGGGCGTCTATAAGGATCGGTTTGAAGCTTACACTATCTATTAACCCTGCGAAATAAGCACACCAGTGATTCATTTTGTATTTCTTCATTATTTTTGATGTCAGTTTTGGTGCTGGTTTTGTTCGCAAAAGGGGGATGAAGTCAAACACCATCCATCAGAAAATTCTTAGAGTTAACCGTGCTTATATTGTAAGGCACGATTGAAAACCTTTTAATTTATTTCTACTGTTAATGTGTATTGATATTCTATTTAGAATAAAACTAAAAATGACGGCGTACGAGCAAAGACCGAAGACGAGCTAAACGGTAAACCAAAGAGCAAAAAAACAAAGTTGTCAGCGACTCAGATCTTGTGGCCGTAAATAAATTTCCAAACTCTACACTTTGTTTCACTATGTAAACTGTTTGCCTTTATCCAACTTACTTATATTACCAAAAATAATTTTGTATCGCTATTTGATTTTTCGAGTTTATGCTCGTGATAACTCTGCTCTTATACACGGTGTTATATTTTAGTTTGCATATATTTGTATTATAAAACCAAAGCCGTGAAAGGTACGGCAATGAGATCGTTCCAGGTGAGTTTTGCATACGGCCAGAAGAACATAATATACGGAGCTAATCGACAATATAAGCACTTTTTAATCAAATTTTATTTAGTGAAAATAAACAACTGACTTTGATTACCGTACAAACCGGAATAAAGGTCGAATTTATTTTCGAAAATGGACCTGAAAAGTCGACCCTCATCTTATATAACGGTCATTAGCGGAAACACAAAATAATCTCGCCACACTGTGTGGCCGCAGCCACCATCTTGTTTTTCTTTGCAATCGCTTTGCTGTACAATCGCCTAGAACTCGTCCACTTGTCACAATGTTCCCGATTAACTTTCACTTGTGCTCCTTGGTTTGTAACATCTAGAGTTGCCGCTCCCGGAGTGATAATGAGCGGAAGTCGAAGACAGTTTCCAGGTAGCCTTCAAGAAGAAGGCAATCAGCAATGCACAGATCCACGGGAATCTTGCAATGCAGCGAGAGTTCGGTGTATCGGAGAACAGCATACGCTACTGGCGAGGCCAGAGACAAAAGCTGGCGGCGTGCAGCATGGCGAAGAGAACGTCAATTCGTCGAAGGACTGCGGTGTCCCCGAATCGGAGACAAAGGTGGCAAATTTTATTTGGGATCTGCGCTCCCGATCGCTACCTATGACGTCGGAGTGCATCTGTACGAAAGCCGTCGAAGTCCCTCGTGCCTCCGGGCTCTGGAAGGCGCAATTCAAAGGGACGAGATCGTCCCTTTGAATTGAGTTAGCGAACTCGTCGTTGGACGAATGTTCTGAAGAATCCGAGTAGTAACGCTCGCGCACTTCCTGTTTAATTGCGTGCGAAGCAATTAAATACATGCGCTGTGTTTCCTCGTCCTTCTGTATACTTGGCCAATTGTGTTACCACGGTAAGGTTGCAGTTTCTTTCCATAAAAACTTTGTTTCACCTTTTGCAACTTGTAAATTAGGGGTCGAGCTATATTCCGGTTCGACCTATACTCCAGTTTGTACGGTACGAATACATGAAGAGATGAAACATTTGAGGACGAGGACGGAAACATGACTTCTTTTATTGAGCAAAAACATAAAATCGCACAAAATATAATCAGTGTTAGAGGTTGGCAAAATCCGGCTTTCCAGGGGACCTGCTTCGTTCCACCCTTGAGGGATTCATTCTCAGGCCACAACTTCCGTAAACTGTTGCCAAAAACAAAGGTAGTTTTCTTGTGATTATCTACATGCACAATTCTGTTCACCGTTTAAGATTATCGCGTCCAATTTCAACACGAGTGTGGTGTTTTCCTGTCGTTAGCACCTTAATCAATGTGTAAAAAGGTAAATCAGAGCTAACAGTCCCAGAGGGCGCAATGTTAAGCATGCCAAAATTTTCCTGGGGTGCGGAAAAAAAAAAAGGTTTATTCAATTCCATTAAGCTGCGGCAGTCAGTACATCGAACAAACTGGGAGATGCGTTAACCATCGACTTCGAGAAAACAACTTAAAAGCATCAAAGGTTACAAATGAATCTTTTCACGCAATCGTCGTTGTCAGCCGCACGTGCGACGACTGCACTCTTTATCTGTCTAATTTTAGGATACTGGGTGGGCACAACAGCAAATTTGGGAGAGAAATCACTGAGTCATTTGCCATGGGGACTGCCAAGAACAACATTTTTGAAACCTGCACCTTCATTCTCACTGGCAAAAAGACAGATGTCGCATTCCTAACACCAGAGATAACTAGATTACTGATACCTCGTCGCGACGCTAGTGCTTTTAAACTTTTAAATCTATAGTACATTTCTGTTTGGGACTGTCAACAACAATATTTCTGTAGCAAAAAGTCCAATTTGGTTGTCTACGTGCAAACCAATGAAAAGCATCTGGCTCGCCCCAGCGGAGGACTGAGGATTAATTTCGACCACTTGGGGATCTTTGGACACGCAACCGAAAGCTCGGTTGCACGGCGCTTTCTCCGCAATATGTTTCCGCAATATGCCTCCGTCATATTCCTCCGTCATATGCCTCCGTCATATGCGGGCACCTCGGCCAGGGTTCGAGCCCTCAACCTGGGGGTTCGTAGGCAGGCGCTTTGCCCCGGACCCACCGAGGCGGGAATATTTATGCACCTTCATTATCATTGCCAGCGACAGAGGTCGAATTCCTAACAGCAGAGATAACTAGATTACTGAGGCCTCTTCGTGACGCCAGTGCTTTTCAAACTTTTATATTTATAGTACATTTCCCTTTCCTTTAAAAAATGTTATTTTTCCTTCTTCAATAAAGTTCAAACTTTGGGGCGCGGTTTTATATTATGTGCCATTCTATGTTGTTTCTCAATTAAATATGTCCTGTTTCCGTCCCCGTCCTCGATGTTTTATCCTTTCATGTATTCGTATCGTTTCATCAACACGCTTGTTTTAAATTATTACTGACGTCTGTCAAAAAACTTCCGGAGCGCAGTGAAAAAAATAGTTATTTTTAGGACGATTCAAATCTCCGTTGAAGCACAGGAGTGCGCTAGGGTTAGCACTCCTGTGCTTACATACAGCGTACATGTGTGTAAAAACTTCAGTTTTAAACTGCACCACGATATATGTAGAATTATAATGTCAA